TGTGTGGTGTTCACCAACCTGCAATTCTGAGTATCATTTCAGCTCTTTTAATAATATAAAAGGAATTGATATTGCAGATCTAATCCAATTTTCAGGAAGGGATGCGAAGACTTTATATTAACTTTTTCTTTTCTATTTAATTTTTGTTTTACTTTCTGTCAGCTTGGACCATGTTTCATAACAGAAAATGTTGAGTGCTTCCTATGCATAATGTATATATGATCATCAATGTCTTTATTATTTTCTTCAGATTCTACAGGTGAATATCACGTAGACATAAATTAGGCAAGCCAAGCCCCAAATCGTGAAAGAATGGACTTCATTTTAAGCACACGAGTATTTCCTTAGAAGTCCAGAGGACTACTCTGATGCTTGGGTCAGACACAAGCTTTGGTGCTTTCAGCAGTCAAAACCTTGGTCTGAAATAATGGGAGTATTTCCATTTATTTCAATAGACTCTAGCACAAGCCTTTAATTGCTTTGCAGTGGTCACACTCCTCTCCTCCTCCTTAAAGGGTACTGGCATGATGGCCACTCCTGTAGTTCCAAAAACCTGTGACCTGGCAACAGGAATCCCCCACTGATGTGAAAATTCTGAAAATATATTAATTTATCTTCTTGTCTATTACTTGTTAATTTTATTGGCATGATGAATTTTTTTTTTATTGGAGAACGTCCTGAGTACTTCCAGTCCTTTTACCTGCCACATTCACATCACCTGCATCCAAGCCTTCCCTGCGCTGCTTGAATCTTCTGCTACCTTACATGTCAGTGAAATGAGAAATTCTTCCTGATCCCCCTTGTTTACAGACTACTTTACTATTTTAGCCTCTCTGTAAGATGTGGTATTGATAAAAATCCAAATGGGCATTTATCACTTCTCAAAGGGTGACTGAGTTTTACGGGAACCTGCCCTCCAACCCAAGCTCCTATCAGCAGGCTGTGCTTTGCTGTCACAAGAACGACCCTTTGGGGCTTCCAACACATTACAGTTCTGTCCTACAAAGATGCAGAATGCAAGCCTTCAGTCTACGGCGAATTCCTAGTGAACTAAATAGAAGATGATTAATTTTCCAATGAACTTGAAAATTATACGGATTATATTTTCCACATATTTTAGAAAACAATGTCCGTAATACATATTAGCCTTATTCTAATTCAGTTCTACAGGACCCCATCAGACTAAGGGATTTTGATTTGTATGTTTACCAGAGGGGGCTAGTGATACAAGTGATCTGTCCTCCATCTAGCTTAACCCATAACATGGCAGACCTCCAGCTCCTCCTTACCTGGTAAATCATCTTCGTCTTCGCTGAAAACATTTGGATTAAAGACAGGCAGGTTAATGTAGTCCATTGAAATCTTCCGCACTTCTGGGAGATATATTGTCATCTGTCTGGGCTGAAGGTGCAGCAAACTGGTTTTATTTATTAAT